CAGAGATTAAAGCTGTGTGGAAATGAAAACCTAGATCAGGCTTTGTATACATGGTTTGTTCAGATGAGGCAGCAAGGTGTACCCGTAAGTGGCCCGGTACTGAGGGAGAAGGCACTTAGGTATGAGAGAGAGATGGACATAAAGGATTTCACTGCTTCCAATGGTTGGTTCAATCGATGGAAGAATAGCCATGATGTTGCCTTTAAGGCGAAGCGTAGTCGTGCACCTTAGAGATGACAGCCTCTTGGAAAGAATCCACCCTTCCAACGCTTCTCTCAAAGTATGCTGTTCGCGACATATTCAACGCTGATGAGTTTGGCCTATTTTACAAAGCCTTACCAGACAAATTGATGCATCAGAAATCTGACAATTGTGTCAGGGGAAATGTAGTAAAGTACACCTAACTGGACTTGCGGCTGCTAGTGCCGCTGGAGAGAAACTACCCATGTCCATGATAGGCAAGTCGCAGAAACCAAGGTGTTTCAATGGAGTGCGAAATTTGTCTTGCAGGTACCAGGCACAGAACAAGAGCTGGATGGACAGCCAACTTTTTGAGGAATGGGTAAGGGAGCAAGACCGGAAGTTTGAACGCGAGGGTAGAAAAGTAGCCCTTGTAGTTGACAACTACCCCGCCCACCCTGATGTTGCAAACCTCAAGGCCATAAATTTAGTATTTTTACCATCAAACATAACATACAAGACCCAACCTATGGACTGAGGTGTAATAAGGGCAACGAAGGCATATTACTGTGCGTCCATGGTGCGCAAGTATATTGATGCAGTAGAGAAGGACAAGGCCGCTCCAAATATTTCTGTTTTGGATGCCATGACGATCTTAACAGGGGCATGGAACAAAGTGACACCTGAAACAATCCAGAATTGCTTCAAAAAGGCAGGTATTTGCAGTAAAGCACAGACAAATGCCATTCATGATCTAAACAACCCTTTCTGAACCCTAAGTGAGGAAATACAGTCTTTAAGAGAAGCCTATCCTGAAGCTGTACCAGCGAATGTTGATGCAGACGATGTAATTGGCATCGATGACACCGTATCCACCTCAAAGTTGGGTTCATTAACAGATGAAGAGATTCTGGCAGAATTCAGTAGTGATCAGGAGGCAATGGAGGAGGACGAAGACATAGATGAAGTTGAGATCGTAGAAGAATGCCCTGAGAAACCCACTGCAAGTGAACTCAGATCCGCAATTGATGTGCTGACTTCATACAGTCTGTTCCTGAACTAGGGTGCAGAGGAAATCAGAAGCCATGTACAGCATATAGAGGCATTAGTAGAAAGAATCTTCAGGTGCTCCCTATGACAGCAGATGCTGCATTCATATTTTGTACCTAAGCGATAAGAACCTTACAGATAATAGAACGACCCTGACGCAAAAGGGAACATAAATTGAGTGTATTCATTTAAAAATGAACTAAGTTACATTCACAGGATTGCATTGTCATAAGAATGCATAATTGCTACAGTTGTTACAAAATTTATTAGTTTCTTGTGAAATAAGTTTGATTTGCACTGTATTGTATACCAAAGTGCTGAAAATCAATAAACTATTAATTATTAACCTGGAAAATTGAATATTTTAATTGACCCTGATAACTCGAAACCCCGCTAACTGGAACACTTTTTCGCTTCCCTTCAGAGTTCAAGTTGCTGGGGTTCTACTGTAGCATGAAAAAGTGAAAATGTTTACAACTTAGAAGGGGCGGTGATTGCACTGAGATATACATGCTCTATAATTTCAGCTACCAGTAATTTAAGTGTATATTTTTAATCAATAGATGTAGTAGTTCATGCTTTGGATACTACATGGGAGCTTCATAAGCCATATCTTCAGAAGTCCACCTTGCTGAGTTCACTGCTAAAGAGAGCAGAGATGACTGGAATGAGAAACATAGAAGAGGAAGAGGAAGAGGATTTACCCAAACCAGGAGAAACAGGTACAGTGTATGAAAAAAAAAATTCAGTAAAATTCCAGATCATCACTTAAA